CGTCCCCGCTGCCGCGCTCTGGGCTCGGTCGTGCGGCCAGCCCAGGGCGTGCGGCCAGGTCTCCCAAACCGAACAAATTCCCAGTGTTTTCTCCATGTTTCTCCTCCTTGCAACCTGCCGTGCTTCCTCTTCCCTTTTCCTTTTGAGGTCAACTCAGATATGAGCTCTCCTACGCGGAAGGAAGGCCAGCAGATGGTTCCTGTCTTGTGCAAATCCTCGTGCCCAAACAGCATCGTGGGTCCCAGCAAGATCTCCGGGCAGAGGGGGAGAGGGAAGCTCGGAGAGGCGGCGGGGAGCTGCAGCTGCCAGTGTCTCCCCGCGGCTCTTATGGCCTTTGGATCCACTCTGAGCAGATAAGGCCAACGCCATGGAGGCCGATAACCGAAGGAGCGTGTTAAACCTGGTGGCTGCGTTTGAAGACCAAAGGTAAGGAGGGATCGTGCTGGGAGCTGTGGGAGCCGTAGGGCTCCGCACGGCCCGGGCCGTGGAAGGAAGAAGACCCACGGTGGAGATGATTTGAAGGCCTTAGAGAAGGTGTTTAGATGACTTGCTCTTCTTTGGCGCTCACATCTGCCCTGGCTTCCTCCTCCTCCTATGGGTCATGGACAGAAGTCTGAAAACCTCAGTGGGACGTGACTGACTTCGGTGGAGGTTTGCGTGCCTGGTTCAGGGTCTGATTGCGGCATGCTTGTTCTTCCCTCTGCACGCGAGCACCTTTGCAGTTAGCCTGCCTGGCAAATGCTCTTTTTTCCTGCTGCCAGCGAAAAGGATTTTGGTTTGCAAATGTCCAGTCAGTTCTGGCCTGGAGGCAAGAAGGTGGCCCTGGGGTGGTAGGTGTGCACATTTCCCTCAACAGCTCCTCCAGCACGCTGCCACACTAGCAACATCTCCAGCCTTGTCCACAGCCTCTGCATCCAGACTGGCCCCACCAGGGCCTGGGTTTAGAGGAGGATAGTTGGGGGTCTTTGCAGCCCTTGGGCATCAGCTGCTTGAGTATCTATGAGGATCCGAGTCTCAGACGCTCACCTCAGACTAACCCGTTATTTGCAGAGATGTGCCTCCTAAGAAGGGGAACAGAAAGCCTCATGTCATGAGATAGAGCCTATTTCTTTTGGGCTGCAAGGCTGCCTGGTAAAACAGCGTCTTCTCTCAGAGCGTGAGCTGGGACCCACAGACAGCGCAGAGCAGCAGAATGTGCCGGAGTAGGAGCTAGCGGATCCGCTTTGCCCTGTTGGGGTAATTCTGTGGCTTGGGGCGAGTCATCGTTGCGGGGTGTGCCTTAGTGTTCCCATCTGTGAACCAGGGATCGCAGTTCCTGCCCCGCTGTGTCTCGGTGAGGTGCTATCAGTGAGCCTTATGAGGCTGAGTGGCTCCCCTGAGTGGCTGGGCAGGTGGATTTTGCAGCACTTCCTAAAGATGGTCAGACCCTGGATTTCCTTATTCCCCTCTGGAAGTTTCCTTCCTCTGCTCTAGATGCTTTGTCCGCATCTCCGTTGCATGCTTCACCCTGGGCTTTGTGCTCTTTATGGCTGCAGCGGAGTGGTGGTGTCCCATGGTCTCACAATCAAAATTTGGACTTTGATGTTGCTGTGCTGGAACCGTTTGTGGTATTTGGTATCCCTCTGTTTCACTGCTGCTGCGTGTTTGTTGTTTATCCTAATGAGTGAGAGTCTTGTTAAGAGGAAATAAAAGTAGCTTTTATGGCTTTTGGAGGAAGCTGGGGAACCTGGACGCGACTTCCTTCTGGAACAGAAAACAGAGTTTAGCCCAAGTCAGCACAAGTCATACTGCAAATAGAAAGGGAGAAGTTATCTGTCGGATCTGGCAGCAGGTTCAGACTGGCATGGTTTTGAGGGACACCAGGAGAGATGAGTAAAGCATCTCTCTCTCATGAAGGATTATGCATGCCCACACATGAAAGGTATGCATGGCTGGGGGAGCACTCAGGAGCCCACAGATACGTGCTTACCAGCATGAGGAAGGACCTGTCACCCCCTTCAGATGGGCTTCTGTAACTCAAGATATCTCCTATCTGTAACTTCAAGATTTATGCCCAGTTTCATCGTGCTTTTCCCCTCCTCCTCATCCCACTCTTGTCTGCAGTCCACCAATGGCTGTCTTTCTGGTCCCTGCCTGGAGTAATTTACCACAGAAACCAGCTCTTGGATGACAGATGACCTACCACTGTCATCTTCAAAGCCTGTGCCCTGTGTGGTTTCTCCCCCATTGCTGCTCTGTCTTCCTTGTCTTTACCAGAAAAGGGAAGAGAAAAAACAACTGAAAAACCACCCCTCCGCAACACCACCCATGCATACCCGTTTTCTTGGCCGAAGCCTCTTGGCCACTGGGCTTTTAAAGCCTCCTGCCCAAGGAGGCTTTAAAGGAGGCCTTCAACTTTGCAGTGACAGCAGACAGAAAGCCAGAGCCATACCAGCACCACAAAGGGCAAGGCTATGCTTTGGACAGTAAATTGCTGTGGACAAGAGGAGATCCAGATGTGCCATCTGCTAAATGATGTGGGCTTGAAGGGGAAGAGGATCCTGCCAGGAACGGGGACAAGGCCACTCTACAAATAAACAACACAGCCAGATTTTGTCTGATGTGGATTCAAAGTGACAAAGCCAGGCCCAGAGGTAGAAGTGGTCTTCAGGTGGGATTTGGCCTGTCCCTGGGGATGAAGGATGAAGTGGTGAGGTTTTGAGGATAACGGGATGATCGAGGATTGGTACTGCCTGGAAGGGTGTTAGGCTGGTGAGAGGCATCCAGAGGCAGGCAGGTTTCTCAAGTCAGGACCTAGCTGAATTGGTAAAACAAGTTTTAAGCTAGAAATTCAGGTTGGAGGCTGCTTGGATAGCACCATGCCTGGGCCAACCCTACAGAGAGATGTGGAGCAGGTAGGGCAAGAGGCAAGGTTGGAACCTAAACAGGGAAGAGAAGCCATCCAGGCAGTGTACTGCATCCCACAGCTTTGGCTAGAAACATTCAGCAAAACCCACTGATGTGTTTCTGCATTATCACAAGGAGCTGGCATGAGGGAGGAGGAACTGGAGCCTGGGATGGGATAGGAAACCAAGAGAAGCCTCAGATTTTGGGTCACTCCACTCTAGTGATGCCCAAGAGGAAGAGATGGGCTGTGCCAAGGAGAGACACATGGCTGGTGGATGTCTGGGAGGTGTTGCTGGTACCAGGGAGGACTGTCTCTTTCCAAGGAGACTGAGGTAGCGCATGCTGCCTGCAGATGGGTTAAATGGCAAAGTCATGCTCTTCTGGAGCAGAAATGAGAACAGGGAACAAGGACCGACCACATCAGCGGGAGGCACTGGGAGGAGAGAGGCTGGAAAGTGGCCCCGTCAGAGGATGTCTGTGCTTTCAGAGCCTGCTTTGTGTCAGAAGGGCTGTAGCAGAGGCAGAGCAGCACCAGTGCTAAGAAACCCTGCTGGGGTGTAGGTGGGTCTTGCCTCCTCTGCTTAAGAAAGGTGGCCTTAACCCAGTGCCGGTGCAGAGCCGGCCTGTGGAGGTGTGTGGGGAACAGCATGGCTGTGGCAGGGGCAGCCCACAGCACAGAGCTTAGGAGCTGGGTGGGATGAGGCTTGGCCACGCCACGCTGGGGGAATGGACAAGCTAATCATGCTGATTCCTCTGTGGCAGGGCCTGCAAATTTCCCTGGAGCCCCCAGAGGGACTGGCATGCTCGACACACCCAGGCCAGCTCTGCAATCAGCTGTCTCCAAGGGCTCCCGGGGTCCCCGTCGAGTCAAGACCAAAGACACTCCCAGAGGGCCACCATGCACCAAGCAGAGCAAGAGGGCGAGGAGGAGGAGGAGGAGAAACAGCCTTCCTCAGCAGCAGGGCAGGAAGAGCAGCAGGGTCAGCGGGGGCTCAGTTTCAAATGCCTCCGCTCTTTCCGGCGCAAGATCAACGAGGACAACTGGAGGAAGCAGCAGGACTCGGGCCTCAAGCCAGGCGGCAAGTTAAGTTCTGGAGGCAGCGCAAGCCAGGTTGGCCAGTGCCCACGCTCAGGCAGGGAGTCGCGTGGGCTGGATTGGAGCTGAGGTCTCTGCTGGCTCTGAGCAAGTGGCTTTGCCCCTGCAAGAGCTGGAGCACATAGAGATGGAAAAGTAGCCACTTCCCAAGTGCCATGGGTACAAGTTCCCTGTGGTCAGATAGATCCAAACAAGGCTTGTCTCTTCCAGCTCTGATATAACTACGCTCTGGGGTCGGATGCTTAGACGGGCCCAGCCAGAACTGTTGCCAGGCATCCCCAGGGCTGTGGCCCACTTTGCCAACTGCAGATGTGTTTCTGCAGGACTCTGTGTTTAGAGGCCTTGGTGGGATTGCAGACCATAGGGTTAACCCATCCCACCCTACCTCACTCCTTGGGATAGCTAGCCCTGTATTGCCGAGGAGAAAATGGGCATAGAGAAAGGGGCCATCCAGGAGAACGTGAGCCAGGCTTCCCTCTGGCCCTGCGACACCTTCCTCGGTTTTCCTGTATGCTTTATTGAGGACTGTCCTTCACCCTTGCTCAGAACGAGGTCTGGGTTGATACTGGGCTATGGGCTGTGAACACTGGGGAGCAGAGTCCCCTCAGGCCGGTGGGGACAGCTCATGTTGCTGCCCGCAAGAGTGAACCCTTCTGCCTGAACAGGACCCAGAGGAAAAGAAAATTGCTCTGGAGTTGCTGGAGACAGAACAGGCTTATGTTGGCCGCCTCCACCTTCTCGACCAGGTGAGCTGGGGAGCAGAGTGGCCTGCACAGGTCTGGGATGTGGTAGCCCTGTTGCCATCCATCGTGAGCCTCTGCCAGTGCAGCTCAGGCACTGCTTGGACTGGGCCTGCACTGAGAAACTAGGCAGGGCCAGGCACAGGTTCACACTCATTAGTTGTCCCGTGCTCCTTGGCAGGGCTGGGACTTTGTGGCAGCGCCTGGGCACAGTTCAGGGTATGCACAGGCCAGAGACTCTTTCCTGGAGGTTTCGGAGAGCATGAAGCCATGCAGATGAGAGCCATGCTGGGCTGATGGTCCTCAGAGCCAGAGGATGGGTCTGGCCTTTGCCTGCCCCTTGTCCTACGCTTCCAAGGAGCACCCTTTGTCACTTCCCAGCAAAGCCCATTTTATGTTTATTTTGTAGTCCAACTTCTCTTCTAGGACCTGGGATTTCGCTCCTGCCTGGAGTCGGTCCTCTCCACCGAGCGATGTGGTGGTCTCAGAGAGGGGGCAGGCCCCTGGGCCCCTTCCTGACTCTCTTGTTCACCCCTCCTTTCTTTCAGGTGTTTTATACGGAGCTGATGAAGGAAGCCAAAAATGGGAAGACAGTCCCAGAGGAGGTGGTGAAAATGATCTTCTCCAACATCTCCTCCATCTACCAGTTCCATGCCAAGTTCTTCTTGCCAGAGCTGCAGAAGCGCATGGAGAATTGGTGAGTTGGAGGAGAGGAAGGCAGGACCTCCTTGGGTTCCTTTCCCAGAGTGGGGAGTAGTGGTGGATTTGGTCTCCCAGTGGGACCAGAGAGCTCAGCCCATTTTGCTCCAGATGTCTTTGTGCTGGAAAGTACTTCCTTAAAACACTCCAGCCCACATCAGGGTATTCCTGAGAAGGGGAACGACACTTCAGGTGACTCAGGGACGTTCCCAGGCTGCCAGGTGCTATTGCCTAGCCTGGCTGCCAGCTGGGCACATACCTGTTCTGGAGAGCAGGATGGTGTATGGGGACATAGTAGGTCACAGTGTTAAACCTCTGTCCTCCACTGTGCCCGGGCTGCTCCTTCTCTTTATCTCTTACCGTCCTTCTTCCCCACTGGGCTGAGGAAGGTGCTGGTCTGCAATTCCCTCCCACAGGAGTTCCAATCCGCGGATCGGGGACGTGATCCAGAAGCTTGCGCCATTCCTCAAGATGTACGGCGAATACGTGAAAAACTTCGACAAGGCCGTGGAGCTCATCACTGCCTGGTCGGAGAAATCGCCACCTTTCCAGGAGCTCATTGCCGACATCCAGGTGACGAGGGCCACGGTGGGGTGGGGAACTGCAGCACTTTTTCCTGGGGTCTCCCTGTAGCAGGGGAGCAGGTCTGAGGAAGTGGGAGCCAGCATGGTCACCGTGTCTCTCTGTGCATGGGCGTCTCTCCCCAGAAGAGGAAGGTCTGCGCTAACCTAACACTGCAGCACCACATGCTGGAACCTGTGCAGAGAATCCCGCGCTACGAACTCCTCCTGAAAGATTATGTCCAAAAACTGCCACCTGAGTCCCCAGACAGGGCCGATGCAAAGAGTAAGGGCTCCAGCTGGCTCTCCCTGTGGTGGGGAGTAGGAGGGTGGGTTTATAGGGGAATTGACTGCCCCTGGGGTTGTTCATGGGTATCAGGACACCGAGGTTCTCTCCTCAGGTAGCCTGTGCTGTTGGATAAACCTCTCAGTCTTACCCTTTCCTAACCAGGAGGGATTATTCTGCTCTTCTGGGTGTGGGGAGGTCAGTGGGGAAAGTGGGTGGTGTTTCAGGACAAGGATGGTCCCTGGCGAGCATCCCCTGGGGAGATCTGCAATGACCGGGGGATGTATCAGACCTCTACAGGTCATGGCAGTGCCCACTTCTGTTAGGATGGGAGTGATAAACGACCAGCCTGTCTGTCCTCCCAGGACTAGTCCACGCTGCGCAATCCGTCTGGATCCAGACGCCTGTGCAGTGTTCAGGGCCATTCGGGTTGTGTCCAGGGGAGGGCAGTAGCAGCCAGTGACGTGTGGCTCCCAAGGATGGGAGAGACCAAAGGGTTTCTCGCACCCCTTCCACAGCAAGTGTTGAACTCTGTTTCTTTTCTCTTGTCATTGCAGAGGCCTTGGAAATGATTTTCATGGCGGCCAAGCACTCAAATGCGGCTATCGCTGAGATGGTGAGTGCCTGTCTTGGGAGGTGGGGATGGAAGGGGCGCCACTACACTGAGGTTGTGACTGAGCTGTAACACCCTGTCTGAGGTGATGGAGGAGCCTGACCTGGGCTTTCTACTATGGCCCTGACACCTTTCTGCAGCACCTCTTCCTCCCCACTGCCCCTCCCAGCCCCAGCTTCCAGCTGCTCCAGCAAGTCTCCGCTCTGTCCCTGGCACTGTTGTCCCACTCTTCTGTTGTCCCCAGAACATCATCATCCTCTTCTGTCCCCTGCACTGCCACCTCCAGCCAAAGGTGCTGGTGGACGTTTGATGCCTTCCAATGCCTTGCCTGGAGGCCAGGGGACCAGAAAAGGCTCGGATTCCCCCAGAAGCAGGTCACTGTGGTGTCGCCCTGCCTCCCCCAGGAACGGCTGCAGAACCTCTGGGAGGTCTATCAGAGGCTAGGCCTCGAGGACGACATTGTGGATCCCTCCAACGAGCTGATCAAGGAAGGACCAGTCCTAAAAATCTCCTCCCGCAACAACAGCACATCGGAAAAGTACCTGTTTCTGGTGGGAGCCGGGATGCATGGGGGAAGGGCAGGGAGGGCGGATGGGGAGAGAGGCAGCACAGCCTGGCTGGAGGTGCCAGGGCTGCTGCTGGGACGTCTCCGCTTGGAGAGGGTGAATGCGGAACGGGAAGGGTTTGAACCCTCAGTGCAGGCACCCTATAAAGGACGTGGCTGGGAAACTGCTGATCCCCTGAGCGTGGCAACCCTTTAGAGATGTCACCCTGCAGAGGGCTTTGCCTCTGCAGGGTGGGAGAGGGCTGAGGCAGAAGCAGTCACTTTTGGGGCCGGATTCTTCCCATGAACTAGCGCAGTCTGAAGAGGGTGAAGAACCCCAGATCCCAGGGAAACCCCCAGCCTTGAGCAGGCCAGGGCAGGTTGCTGGGCCCAGACTGACCTTCTCCTTTTCCCACTGCCCAGTTCAACAACATGCTGCTGTACTGTGCGCCCAAAGTCATCCAGGTGGGCGCCGAATTCCAGGTCCACCTCCGCATCAATGTGGATGGCATAAAGGTCAGACGCATCTTGCCTTTGCATTGTCCCCCGTGCCCTGGGGAATGGTTTCAGAGGCTCCCTTCAAAGTGGAGCCAGCTCTGTGGCTGCTGCCCAGGACCTCCTGAGAATGGAGGGAGGAGCTGGAGCGGGGGTGGCTTTATGGATGTGCAGGACTGGCTGATACAGCCTGATCCTGTGAGATTGCAGTGCCACCCTGCGCGCATAGTATTCGAGGGGCCAAAGGGCTTGTGGCCAAGGGAACTTCCTGTCCCCCCATTATGGAGGAAGGTCCCAGCATGCTGGTTGTGGGTTCAGCACTTCCCCATCCTCTCTTTGGTCCCTCTCTCAGGTGCGGGAGCTGAATGACACGCAGTTTCCTCACACCTTTCTGGTCTCAGGCAAGCAGCGGACGCTGGAGCTGCAGGCCAGGTAAGGGGAAGGGCAACGGCCCTGCGGCTCCTCAGGGAGGAGGGACGCCAGCTCATCCATCTCCTTTTCTGCGCCCAGGTCCAGGGAGGAGATGAATGCCTGGATCGAGGTATGGCTGAGTACTGGGAGAAGTCTCACCCATCCTGGCTGAATGCCTAGGATCCTGCCCAGGCAGATCCCCCACCCCAGCATGTGTCACATGCTGGTGTGTCCAGGGATGCCCCTCTGGTTCCCAGGCCAGCTGCAGCCCCCCTCCAGGACCTCGCATTTAAGGATCTCATGTCCACAGCTTGTGGCTGGCACTGCTTCCCCGGCCATCCCTCCAACCCTGCTTTCCCCTCTAGGCCTTCCAGGATGCCATCGATAGGAGGGAGAAGAGGAGTGAGAGCTTCAAGACAGCTGTGCATAGGCCAGAGATGGGGCCCCCTGCATTGAAGGTAGCCCTTCTGCTGCCCTCTCCATGCCTTGTCTGACTCCAGCTTCCCCCTGCACTGAAGCACAGGGAGAGCTCACCTTGCTGTGCCTCAGTTTCCCAAGCTAGACAGCCCTACAGATCCTCGTGGGGGAGGCGTGGTAGAGGAAGAAGGGCTGAGTGGGGGAAGAGAGAGAAGAGGAGCCAGGGAGGCTGAGTGGGGCATGAGCAAGGCCACTGCACCAAGGCTAGCCAGCACCAGCCCCTGCCCCAGCAATGCCATCTCCCACCTCCAGACAGAGGAGCTGGGCCGTCGAGCCCCACAGTGGGTGCGGGACAACCTGGTGACCATGTGCATGCGCTGCAAGGAGCCCTTCAACGCCATCACGCGCCGGAGACACCACTGTCGTGCTTGTGGATACGTGAGTGACCCTGTCCCCCCAGTGCTCCCTCCCTCCTGGCCTGCTCAGGTGGCAGTTGGGGCAGGAACATGGCTCTCATGTGCCTTTTATCCTTTCCCAGGGCTCAGGGCCACTTCTGGTCCTCAGCCATCTGTTTCTGCTCCTGTGGGGATGGAGTTGTCCCTGGGGATCCTCCAGCCCTGCCCCAGTCCCACCAGTGTCCATGTCTGGGGGCTGTAGGTGGTGTGCGCTCGCTGCTCCGACTACAAGGCCGAGCTGCAGTACGACAGGAACCGCCTGAACCGCGTGTGCCAGGAGTGTTACGTCTTCCTGACAGGCCACGTAGTGCTCGAGGACCGGGAGGGGAAGCACAAAGGCATCCTGGAGGTGTGCTCTGCCTCTCTGCCTGTCCTCCCTTGTCCTCTGTCCCTCTTTCTCTGAGCTCTGTTGCCCACCGCGGTCCCTAGCCCCTCTGTCACTACCCTGCCGTGCTCCTGCCTGCCAGCAGCGGGAGACGGGTGGGAGTAGCCCTCGCAGGAGTCAGAGAGGGCCTCTGCGCTTGCGAGGCTGCTGGACATGCTAAACCCACTCCCTCCCCTCCCTGAGCCTTGGGACCCAGGTATCCGGGGCTCCTTCCACCGCAGGATCGCTGCAGGCTCCCCACAGCTAGAATCAGCCCTCCCCTGCCCCTGGTTTGTGGCGTTTTGTGGAGACTCAGAAATCTCTGCGGGGCCTCAGTTTCCTGAGACGCAGCGGGAGTCCCTGAGGCTATGTGACACCGGGCAGAGCAGGGGGTGCTGAGGTGGTGGCTCAGGAGCATGTCGGACCAGGGGGCTGAGCCCACAGACCAACTTGTGGGAAATCCAGGAGTAGGAAGTTTCCTGGGAAATGGCCCTTCAAACAGTGCCTTTGCTGCCTTGCCCCATGCCTGCTTATTTAGTGATTTGTTTGCTGGTTTCTTGGCAGAAAGAAGCAGCAGAGATATCAGGCAGGAGTTTGCTCTGCAGTTCCCTGCAGCTGCTGGACAAGAACGGCAAGGGAGGCACGCGGGGCTGGTTCGTGATCCCGCGGGATGACCCCCTCGTGCTGTACATCTATGCGGCCCCCCAGGTAAGGCCGGCCACAGCTCCTTCTGCAAGGAGCTGCCCGGCGTGCCTGTCCCCCTGCCTCCCACCCGCTGTCTCCGTTCTCCCGGCAGGACGTCCGAGCTCACACCTCCATCCCGCTGCTGGGCTACCAGGTGAGGGACCTGGCCCAGGGCGACTCTCGCCACCTCTTCCAACTGGCACAGTCCCGGCAGGTCTACACCTTCGTGGCTGACACGGAGGAGCTGAAGCAGCGCTGGATGAGAGCCATGGCGCGCTCCGCTGCGGGGATCACCCACCCGGAGGAGGACGAGGACACAGACTCCTTTGATGAAGCCGAATGAGCCCCACAAGCCGTGCCCACCTCCGGGGCTGCCCCGACAGTGCTGCCCTGCGGGTTGAACCTCCTCCCTGCTCTCCCTCGCTTGCCGGTCGGCTTTGGACAGATCCCCCGACCTCTCTGCGCTTTGGTTTTCCCTTTCGCAAAAGAGGCAAGGTGAGGGCGCGTTTGCTGCCGCGCGGACAACCCGGATCCCCCTTCCCCTCCCTCCTCGTGCTCCGCAACGGGGAGCTGGACCCTGGAGGGAGCCGATGGAGGCACCCGAGCGGGGAGGTGGGGGGAGAG